CCCACCAGCGATAATCTTCTGGTCTTCAAATGCTTCCTCACCATTGGTGACAAAGTTTGAAGGAGCAGGTGCAATGGGACGGTCTTTTTTTCCGAAAGGTGTACTTTGTTACCACAATCAACAACCAAGGCTTTCTTTGAGTCCGGAATGGAGAACTTCAAGACATACTGTCTCGAACTATTTGCCACATTATAGATATTTTGCAATCGAAAATTCAAAAGGTTTTCCGCAAGCTCAGTGGTAAGGATCGTAAGATCTAAAGCGGTAATTCTTTGCTGAGGATGTTAGTCTTTTCTTGCCAAAGCGGTCATTCTGTTGTAACGTACCTTCATTCTGTTGCTTCGAAAAATACTAGCTCACCATTTTGGACATTTATCAAGTATACAGTATGCAGATTATATCTCTGACCAAAGTTGTCGATTTGCCTAGTAGAACAAGAGGAAATGAAGAAGTGAAGTGCTTAGCAAGTGATAGTGTTAATTCATTTGAGATATTAATCCTCCATAATCTAGTCGGCCCTCAATTACTGCTACGGTAAGTGTATATGGCTTTGCTGACTACTGGCAATCGAACAGAAAATACGTGCAGTCCTGCTTTGCTTCAAGTGAAGTCTACCATTGCAATGCTGCTTGAGAAACAGTTAGGACCATTGGTCGATGCTATAAAGAGCAAAAAGAGAAAAGTCACTTTCTTCTGTGGGGCCGGGATATCTACCGCCTGTGGTATACCCGATTTCAGAAGCCCCAAAACGGGACTCTATGCCAACTTACAACGGTTGAATCTTCCATACGCAGAGGCTGTCTTTGATATCGATTACTTCAAAAAAGACCCAAAGGCTTTCTACACATTATGTCAAGAGTTATATCCGGGAAAGTTTGTACCTTCCAAATTTCACTTTTTGATGAAGCTATTTCAAGATAAGGGATTATTACACCGGGTGTACACCCAGAACATAGATACGCTTGAGCGGATTGCTGGAGTCCACGGTGATTTTATTGTTGAGGCACATGGGTCTTTTGCAGAAAATCATTGCATCGACTGCAAGGAACCAATGTCAACCGAAGAGTTGAAGAAACATATGAATTCTGACGTCAACGATGGCATTCCTACTTGTGCATCGTGTAAAGGGTATATCAAGCCTGACATTGTCTTCTTTGGTGAAGGATTGCCTGAAAGGTTCTTTCAATTGTGGGAGGAAGATGCGGATGTGGTTGATGTTGCTGTGGTAGCTGGAACTTCCCTCACAGTCTTTCCATTTGCTCTGTTGCCCGCAGAATGTGGGAAAAATGCATTAAGGGTTTTGATTAACAAAGAGGTTGTAGGTGACTTCAAAGCCCGGAAACGGAAATCTGACATCATTCTTCAGTATGATTGTGATCATATTGCCACTGTACTTGCTGATCTTTTAGGTTGGTCTGAGGAACTAGCAGCATTGGTAGATCTGGCAACTAAAGAGACTATACTTGTTGAAGAAAAAAGCGATGAAGCTGAAAGTACAAGGGTTAGTTCACATGAAGAAAGCGAATCCTCGAGTGATTCATCGAACGAATCATTCAAGGATGCAATTCTGTTCCCAGCAGAAGCTCAGTCAATGGACAGCACAGACGAATTGGATGCGCAAATGGGTAAACTAGGACTTGAGTAGGACTTTTAACTTATCTTTTTTGGTACAAGCGGTAGAAAAACCTCATATTCTCAAGCTTGACTGGATAGTTTATATCTTTGTCGTTAATTCTATACCAACAGCTTTCGCTTTGGTCAATAATTTGCCAAGCGCCATTATCATCTCCAGGCTTGCCAAGTAGAATAGTATCGATCAAGAATTGCACCGGGAACTTCTTCAGGCCGACAGTAATATGAGAATATGACCCAGCACTCTCTGTAATGAGAAGTAAAGTTCCTTGACGACAATGGGCACTCAATGACTGCAAAAACTTAATTGTTTCTGTTTTCTTTTCGCAAAATAATTCGTTTGTCGTAAAAAGTAAGGTTATTAAATCCAATTGGGACAACTGGAGTGATGCTGAGGATTCAGACAACACATCTCCGTGAATGAATTTGGCGGAAAATTTGGACGCATCATAAAGCCATTGTTTCTGTATGAATGAAGAAATATTATGCACAATAGTAGACCAATCGGCAATGTCAATAATATCCATCTGCAAGCTCGAGGGTGTTTCGGCATTATTTTGCTTCATGGCACAGAAAAGGGATGCCATCCCAACCAATTCAGAGGATGCGCCACCTCCCACGCATAGTACCCTATTTTTCCTTTCGGGGTCTTCAAACATTTTTGCAACGGATTCGAGTGAGGCAAAAAGGGAAGAATATGCCAACGCTCTTGACGGAGACCATCGAGCAACATAAGCGAACCGCTTATCGTCATTATTAAAAGCTGAAAGATAGTCGCGCTTAAATAATTCTCCCTTTACCAATTGTATCATATCCGGAAGATCCTCCGATGCCAAGATATACTTGAAGTTCTCCAAAAATAAGTCAATCACTTTACTAGGTGTGTAGGTGCGTACGTGATGGAAGGGAATAATATCATTACCCAGTCTTGACAATTTAGACAGGGAAGGCTTTGGACTAGAGAAAGAAGTTTCTGGTTTAACTTTATCACTTTGATACTTGGCTATTCTTCGGCTCATTCTTTCGGTTTCAGATGGTCTTATGACTATCAGTTAAACCCTCTTCCAAAGAGATGGATCTGGCTGCGGGTAAGAGCGCCCTGCATATCTCTCTTCGCACTTTTTTTTTTTTTTGGCGCGACTATAAAAGGCCCCAGGTTCCGCCCAATTCTAATTTTTTCTTCACGTCAACCTGTGTTAGGCAAGGATCCCAGTGCGTGCTAGATTAAACTCTTTGGGGTTATCTAGGATAGCTGTGGAAACGTGTCTAGCAGATCGGCGCTCGTGAAGCGAGTCTGATGCTGGATCCTCTAAACCACTGTTAGTGTGCCGCAAATCTTTGTGGCAGCAGCTTGTGTTGTTTTAACGTGTTGATGGCTAGTGCTGGTCCCCTTCGGGGTTTGAGCGGCATCAGCCATTTTCGCTAGATATGAGCTGTTACTAACCTTGGTTTATGTTCTGGCTGTACCTCTTGGTGTTTGGACAGAGTAGCTCCGTCGACAGGTTGTAGAGTAAGCGGGTTGGTCTTGAGCTCACGTTAGGCATTGTGGCAACACAGTGCTTTTCGTTGCAGCTCGACCGCATGGCCCGTAGCAACATATTCCTGGACTCTGCGAAGGCCTTTGGCTGGTGATCGTTTGAGTAAAACCATGTTGCAAACATTTTAAATTGCCGTAGGTTTCTTCTCTTCTATTCTCTAGTAAACAACATAATCAAGCATCGTGTATTTTTGTTCAGGACTGCATCGGGCGCACCGCGAAGCCTTTAACAGTATAGAGAGCCCTACCGCTTCTACATTCTTCCAGTTATGAGTTTTCTGCAGCTGGAAGAAGGGAAGCCAGAATTCCGACGTGCTATATCTCGGGCTGGATCGCGATCTTTTGAATCCAGAAAAGAACTAAGCGAGTTGCCCTCGTTACCTACTTTGAACAGCATAGAGCATGAAGAACCTGCGCCTACTACGGAAGAAGTACCCGATCAGCCGTATGTGGAATTTGATCTTAGTCGTTCCGAGCAGACTCCTTATGAAGATATTAGTTTGACGCAACGATATGTCTCCGGTCTCGAGACGAACGTATCTCGTTTGTCCGATGATGCTCCTACTTTAGTTCTTGAGCCATCGAAACCAAAGACCGAAGAGGACGATTTTTTCAAAGGGGAAACCTCCGATTGGAAATCAATGAAAAAAGTGACAGAAGAGAATTTCTATGACGAAATGGGAAACCTAAGAATTCACAAAAGGATGAAGACTTCCAATCTTTTCAATGCGAAAGGCGGCAGGAGGATATACTAAGATTGATACTGGAAGAACAAACTCCCACAAATACTCTGAAATTGGATAGAAAAGACAGAATTTCCTTTTTTGGAATTGCAACAATTCATCAAAACCCGAACTCCTCCTTGGAAGATCTTGGCAGAGTACGAAGGAGTATATTCCAAGGGGAGGGAAAAGTATTGAGTCCGGAGGAGACTCTTGGCGGGCACCAAAGGGAATGGCTCACAGAGAGCCAAAAATTTGCATACATTGGGATTGTAAAACTTATCATGAATGATATGGCTACGGACTTAGCTAAGCTTAATCAAAGGAACACAACAAAGATGGCAAAAAAGTTGAGTGTTGGTCAAAAGAATTTCGCAAACTGGACCATGTACATCATGTCTAAATTTGTGGACCATTTTGATCTCAATACGGAGGAGACAAAAATGATTGAAAATTTGGGGGCCCATGGTGTGGAGGTGTGTGATTTGACAGGAAGTTTGCTTCAAACGCATATAAAGGATACCCGTTTGGAGAAAGTGACCAAAAATTTTGACCTTCGATGGGTGCTCATTTGTGATTTGCTCCTTCTTCTTTTAAGTGATGGGTACTTTGATAGTAGATCACGCACTCTTTTATTTCAATTTGCAGAGTACTTGGAAATAAAGCCCTTGGAAGTTCGTCAATTTGAGCGAAGATTGGTCGAGTGTCTAGAAATGGACACTAGTAACAAAACCATCGAAAACAAAGACGAGATGTTGAAAGACAACCTGTTCATCCGCAAGCATATTCAGAAGAACAAGAAGAAAAGGCTTGCATATATCGGTTTAGCTACTTTGGGTGGCTCATTAGCCATTGGTCTTTCAGCTGGATTGTTAGCACCGGTTATAGGTGCTGGATTAGCAGCAGGTCTAACAACAGTTGGCATATCAGGAACAAGTGGTTTCCTTGCTGGTGTTGGTGGAAGTGTTGTTATCACTACAAGTGGTGTAGCTATAGGAGCTAAAGTTGGTTCGAAAGCTGGTTCTAGGAGAGTGGGAGATGTCCAAACATTTGAACTCAAACCATTGCACAACAACAAGCGTGCAAATCTCATATTGACTGTGAGTGGATGGATGAATGGTCAAATGGATGACGTTCGTCTTCCGTTTTCTACTGTTGACCCTGTGATGGGAGACATTTTCTCACTCTTGTGGGAACCTGAAATGTTACAGTCAATGGGACAAACCATTGGCATTTTGGCATCAGAAGCATTAAGTACATCAATTCAGCAAATTCTTGGTGCTACTATTTTGACTGCGTTAATGTCTGCTATTCAGTTACCGATGGCGCTTTCCAAGTTATCTTACTTACTAGATAATCCTTGGAACGTGTCATTAGATCGGGCGTGGAAGGCTGGAAAGATTTTGGCTGACACCTTGATTTCTGGAAACTTGGGCGTTCGTCCAATTACTTTAGTAGGATTTTCCCTTGGGTCCCGGTTGATTTACTCATGCTTGATTGAATTGGCCAGTCGCGGTGGGTTTGGGTTGATAGAAAATGTCATTTTACTAGGCAACCCTGTTACTGTCAAGTATGATCAAATCACTTTGGCTCGCTCAGTTGTAAGTGGAAAGTTCGTCAATGGTTATTCCAGAAACGACTGGATTCTCGGTTACCTTTTCCGTGCTACAGGAGGAGGTTTGGGCACCGTTGCTGGCCTCTCACCGATCATCAACACCCCTGGGGTTGAGAATTTTGACTGTACAGAGTTTGTTGAGGGACACATGTCTTATAGACAATCCATACCTAAAATTCTCAAAGCGATGGACTGGGAAGTTTTGAGTGAAGAATTCGCTGAAATAGAAGAGCCGGACGAGGAACAGAAACAACGTCAACGAAAATTGATTAGTGAATTCGACGAGGCAAGGGCCAAAATGGAAAGGGAAAGCCAAGAAAAGAATAAGAAAGCTAAGAGTTGGAAAGATTGGTTCAATCCAAGGCAAAAAAATTGGTGGGAGGTTTATGACAAGGCATCTAAGAGCGAAAACGCCGATACATCGACGACTGAAGAACCTCGTGAAGGTGCAAGTCAGCAAACAAATCCAGATCAAAGTGATGGAGAATTGCAGCAGGAGCAGGCAGGTACCGCTGATGCGATATTTGATTTGGATGCCTTGGCACACGAAGTGAATGATATTGCCAAAATAGGAGCTTCGTTAGAAGCAGATGAGGAATCATCGACACAAGTTGCATGTGACCAACCCAAACAGACCCCTGATTCACAATCCGATCTACATGATAAATAATAGTCGCATACCTTGCATTTTAATTACATATAATAAAGGCAAGTAACTTTCATTCTGTCCAACGTAATATGCTTCGGCTGCAAACGTACTGATATATACGCAACCAGTGTATGACACATTAGGTAAGCGCGCGTATTTTGTGGTATTAACTGGAGCCTGACTAAATTTTTCTTGTAATTTTCCGGTGTAGTGAAACCACCTTCAAAGCCGCCAACAGATATGCCTACCATTGCTGTGGATAAAGCTGACCTCTACGAACTATTGGGTAAGGAATATTCTACCCAAGAGTTTGATGAGTTATGTTTTGACTTTGGTATTGAATTGGATGAAGACACCACTGAAGAATGCGTGGGTGACGAGAGACCCCAATTAAAAATTGAAATCCCAGCCAACAGATACGACATGTTGTGTATCGAGGGTATCGCCCAGGCCTTGAATGAGTTTTTGGGCAGAAGGGAAGCTCCTACGTACAAGTTGAACCCACCAACACCCCAGATCAAGTTGACCATTGACAAGTCCACTGAACAAATCAGACCATACGCTGCCGCTGCTGTGTTGAGAGGCGTTGAATTTGATGAAAGACGTTATGCTTCATTTATTGCATTGCAAGACAAGTTGCATACAAACTTGTGCCGTAACAGAACTTTGGTGGCTATTGGAACCCATGATTTGGATACCTTGACCCCTCCATTTACCTATGAAGCTTTGGCTCCAAAAGAAATCAAATTTGTTCCTTTGAACCAGGAGAAGAATATGGATGGCGCCGAGTTAATGGAGTTTTACGATAAGGACAAAAATTTGGGTAAGTATTTACACATCATTAGGGATTCCCCAGTTTATCCAGTCATTTTTGACTCCAAGAGGACCGTGTGCTCTTTGCCACCAATTATCAACTCTAACCACTCCAAGATTACGTTGAGTACCAAAAACGTATTCATTGAAGTAACGGGTACCGATAAGACAAAGACTGATCTTGTTATTGAACAAATCGTTGCCATGTTCTCCGTTTACTGCAAGACTCCATTTGAGATTGAGCCAGTTGAAGTTGTCTCTAAACACAATGATCAAAATAGAGTTACCCCTAATGTCACGCCAAGAAAGACCGAAGCCGAAATCGCCTATATCAACTCCTGTTTGGGTTTGGATTACTCGGGGGAGCAAATTGCTGGTTTGTTGAAAAAGATGTCTTTGCAGGCCAAGCCAAAGGATGAGAAAATCATTGAAGTTGAAGTGCCAATCACCAGGATCAGACATTTTGCACCAATGTGATATCATGGAGGACGCTGCTATTGGCTATGGTTTCAACAATTTGCAAAAGACTAAACCAAAGGGTGATTCTTTGGTTGCTGCTCCTTTGCCAGTAAACAAGGTTGGTGATATTCTCAGAATTGCTTCAGCCCAGGCAGGTTACTTGGAGGTTTTGCCATTAACATTGTGTTCTCACGATGAGAACTTCAAGTTTTTGAGACAGACTGATGATAACAAGACAGCTGTGAAATTGGAAAACCCCAAGACCATCGAATACCAAGTTGTCAGAACTACATTGTTGCCAGGTATTCTCAAGACTATTAAAGAGAACAGAAAGCATTCTTTGCCCATTAAGGTGTTCGAATGTGGTGATATTGTGTTGAAGAACGCTGAGCTCGAAAGAGGCGCTTTTAATCAGAGAAACTGGTCCGCTATTTATGCGGGAAAGACTTCTGGTTTTGAATTTGTTCAAGGTTTGTTGGGCAAGATCATGCAAACTATGCGTACGCCATGGATAGAAAAACCTGCAGAAGATAAGAGAAGAGGTTACTGGATTGAGGAAGATAAGGACAACACTACTTTCTTCCCAGGTAGAGGTGCTAAGGTTTTTTTCAGAGCTTCTGAAAATGGTGAAGCTCAGCACATCGGTGCCATTGGTGTCTTGCACCCAGAAGTCTTGGGTCATTTTGAAATACCATACGCTGCCTCCTCTGTTGAAATCAATGCAGAGGTGTTCTTGTAAATTTAATATAAATCGTACAGGCTATAGATGTCAGTGAAATAGAGAGCTTTGTTACCAGTACGTGTGTATCTGTTAGTTTGAAGAAAAAGGGAATTTTCGCGAAGGAACCTCCCCATATCGGTATCGGGAATGCTGCGCAGAGAGTAAAATCGTAATGTTGGAGATATGGTATGCCCGGTAGGAATTGGTTTTTATCTGTACATCTATATAAGAGGAAATATTTAAGACATTCCTTCGATTTCTCTGCTCCAACTTCTTTGTGGCAGCTTCTCTTAACATCCAAGATCTCTCTGTTCACAGACAATCAATCTTTACCGGCAGAATCTGCAGGATATTCTGGTACTGTCACGTCCATCATCCATTTCAATCGAGGCTGGTAATATCAGATACCTCACACCAATTCTAAATAGGCGTGCGCTTGACGGATTAAACTAGGTTCTTTAAGAAAAAGCCAAGCTTTCATTTGAAGTGAAGTCTTTTGTGTGGTCATCATATCAATTCAATACATTCTAACTAATGAGTGCTAAAGCCCCATCCAGATCATATGATATGATCATGAAGTTATTGCTTGTCGGAGACTCCGGAGTCGGCAAATCGTGTTTGTTGTTACGTTTTGTTGAAGACAAGTTTAACCCTTCTTTCATTACTACAATCGGCATTGATTTCAAGATCCGCACCATCGAGAGCAATGGTAAGAAGATCAAATTGCAAGTCTGGGACACAGCCGGCCAAGAACGGTTTAGAACCATCACCACGGCATACTACAGAGGTGCTATGGGTATTGTTTTAATCTACGATGTCACTGATGCGAGAACTTTTGAAAATGTTGAGAACTGGTTTCAAACTGTTACGCAGCATGCGAACGAAGATGCCCAAATCTTTTTGGTTGGTAACAAGTCCGACGACGAGGAAAACAGACAAGTGTCGAGAGAACAGGGTCAACAGTTGGCTTCGAGCTTGAATATCCCATTTTTGGAAGCAAGTGCCAAGACAAACGAGAATGTGGAGTCTATCTTTTACGAGTTGGCGTCGCTCATTCAAGAGAAGCACATTGACGAAGAACCAGTTCAGCGTTCTACCGGTATTGATGTGTCGCTGACGGGTAACGGGATCAAGAATAACTGTTGTTAATATGATCAACTTCTCCTTTTTGTCTCTGCTGTTAATACTGTTTTCTCCCTTCCAAATTTACATTTCTGAGAAATAATCTATACTTTTACATTGTATACCTTGTAGATTGTGCTGTATTAGTGTAGTGTGACAAATCTTGTATTGTACATGCCTGGATACTTAAATGATCAATGAATATTTCCCTCCTGCTCTGCTTAGATCTTCTTGCCGAAGTAGACCCACTGGTCGTCCAATGGCTTCTCCTCCAACTCTTCCCAGGCCTTCAACTTGGCTAATTCCTTAGCCAAAGTCAACTCATCATTTGCCTGGATGATAATCTCTTCGATCAAACCACCACCAATCTTGTTCTCGATGTGCTCTGTAATTTCGTTCTCCTCGACAATTCTCAATCTGTTTCTTGTCATGGTCTCAACAGACTGCTTGTACACGGAGTTGGCAGGAAATTCCTTGTCCAAGTAGTTCAAGGTGTATTTGTATAAAGAGATCAACGCAGGTCTTGGGTTTGGGTGCTGGTACAAACCAGTCAAACCGGTTGGCTTGCCAGAGGCAGCTCTAACCAAAACCTCTTCGGCTTGTTTCAACACTCTGGTGAATCTCATTGATGTTTTCAGCCTGTGGATCTGCGACTTTGAAATTCTTCGTTTTTGGTTGGTTCAGTACTGCGCGCATGTGCAGGACGCTGGGAACAGGCCCATACTTCTCTCTGGCAACTACGGCTTCTTGTCTCTCGCGCTACTTCAAATTCATTCGCACAACGTACGCCCTATAAAATCATCTTTTCTAGAATGGGCAAATAAGGCCCCTGAACTTCTGAACACATCTCATTGCTCCAGCCGGCTGACTTCAGATCCTACCCCTTTCTCTTAGAAGTCACCACCACCGAAATCTCCACCATCAGCACCGTCCATGTAGCCGTCTTGATATGCGTCCATCTGGGAGTCCTGGATCATGTCGCCCACTAACATGCCACCCAACAAACCGGCACCGGCACCCATGGCCAATCCCGCACCGCCTCCGAGCCCGCTCTTTCTTGCTGGCTGTGCGTATCCGCCACCGTAACCCTGAGGAGGGTAACCGCCATATCCTTGAGGAGGGTAGCCACCGTAGCCCTGAGGAGGGTAGCCACCGTATCCTTGTGGAGGATATTGGTCCTTGTGGAGGATATTGTCCGTATTGTGGGTAACCGCCATAATTCTGCTGTGGCGCAAAGCCTTGACGACTAGCAGCTGGCCATTATTTGATGACTGCGGCGGGATGCTGCTTTTCGTGTCATCGTTCTTCGACTGTGAAGGCTATATGGTGGTGGCCCAATGTCGGCAGCAGCATC